TCATAAAAATAAAGGAAATTGTTAAAAGGAGTTGCTGAATGGGTAAAATGCTTACAGGTGGCATGGAGAACTTTTTAAAAGGCTTCATATTAGATAGTATGCACTTTACTTTGAGAATTCAATCATGCTAGCTTTTGTTCTTTTTGTTCTGTTTTTTTAAATAGAAGAGCAAAGGAGACTATTAAAAATAGAGGCGTTCCTCAGAAAGTAGGAATCACATCCAAACAAGAAAATAGGAAAACAGAAAAGAGTGTAAACTCTGGGAGTTAACTGTAAAACCATAATAAGGCAGGCCAAAAAAAAAAAAGGGGGGGGGAATAATTACCTAAAGGCATGAATACTACTAATAACTTTTTTCAAACACTTCAGAAACAAGTAGTCTTAACAGTCTGTAGAGCTCATAGATAACTGAGGGGCTTTCAGGGATGGTAAGCCCATAGCAGGAAAGTTAAATGAATTTGCACTGGTGCTTACAATAAAGGAGTGTAGTACAGTTCCCATGCCAGTGCATTTATTAATGGAAGCAAGTTTTGAGGGATGATCTCAAATTGCATTGTCAGCAAAGAGCAAATTGATAAAGTGAATCAAGTCGTCAGGACCAGATGGCATTCATATAAGGGAATTTAAAGAACCTGAATACAGAACTGCTGAATTGTGCTAACTTATTGTTTACATTGGCCTCAATATCAGAAATTAAAAAAAAATGGCATCATGCTTTCTACACTCAAAGAACTTAAGAGAACACAAGGGGAAGCTGTAGACCAATATACCTAACTTTTGTATTAGGCAGTATGATTGAAAGTATTAAAAAAGCAACCAAACAAAAAAATCTAGAAATAGTCTATCATTTTTCTATGTGTTTAATGGGGAAGAGTCAATGCAGTTTCTATAGAGAGAAATTATACCTCACAAAGCTATTAGAGTTCTGAAAGACTTGATGAACACATGAAAAATGATGATCTGATTGATATTATATACATGGATTCCCTTTTGACAAAGTCTCTTGGTAAAGAGTTAGGAAACTAAGCTATTACTGGGATTCACAATGGGGTAAAAGCTAAGAAACAAGAATGGCAATAAAAGTTACCAGGTGGAAGTTACCAGTGGAATCTTGCTGAGGCCTGTTTATTTCAACATGTTCATGAATGACCAGCAAAAGAGCTGAAAGGATGCAGTGACAAACTTGGCATAAATACAGACATCTTTCATTTAAAACTGATTGTGAAGATCTGTGAAAGAATCTCTAAATACTGAATGACTGAGTGATAAAATGGCAAATTAATTTTGCTTTCAGTAAATACAAAGAAATGTACATGGCTGGAGGAACATCCCCAACTGAACATACACGTTGTTAGGTCCAACCTTAAATGTTGCTGCTTGAGAAAGATATCTTGGAGTCCTTGAACAGATCTCTGAAAGCATTAACTTAATGCTTGGTGATGGTCAAAAAGTTGTGTAGAACATTAAAAATAATTAGGAGCAAGCAAAAAGCACTGCACTATATAAATCCATTGCACAACAGTATCTTGAACATTGATACTCATCTCTAAAAGGGTTTAGTAGAACTATAAAAGATTCAACAAAGGTAAGGGTAATATAAGTTATAGAACAGCTTCTGTGCAAGAATAGACAAAAAGATTAGGATTTCTTAGCCTGGAAAAGAGATGACTAAAGTAAATATGATGATGGTTTATGCAGTGTCTTGCATGGCATGGGCAAGGTAAATTGGACCTGCAGCTGTCACTTTCCTTAATTTAGATGAAAAGGGAATGTATTTGCTCTCCAAGAAGTGTTTGTTGCATAAAGATTTTTTTCAAAAGAGCACCTTGGCAAACAAAAGCAGCATTATGGAAGAGTTCATGGAAGAGATACCTGATGTTAATATTAATTTTATTCTTTGAGAGGGAGAAGATGAGTAATTTTTCTGAGGAAGAGGATTTTAATGAGGACCAGATACTTTCTCTGACAGAGATCAATTTGGCAGATAGAGATGTGTGTTTTATCATAGGAGGAAAGAAGTAAAATATACTTAGACTTCCTTCAGCTTATCGTCTTCTTTACAGAGCTTATTTGGAAGGCTAAGCCGAAGTTCTGTCTTATTGCATGCTTTGTTAATCATCATAACTTAAATTCTGATTCTACAATTGGCATTTTCATGGGGTTTATGATGAAATAACAGGCTGAAAGACTCAGTACATTTGAATTTTGTAGGGGTCACGATTTGGAATGTCTAGATTTTGACTTCTTAAATTTATATTGGTTTTATTTTCTTACTCTGTGGAACTAGACTTGCCAGATCTGACTGGACTCACAGTGCTAATGTTGTCTATCCCAGCCCTGTAGATCTTTCTGTAATGAAGCATCCTGTTTCTAAATTTATAATCTGGGATACTTAGACTGTTAATGGTCCAAATAACACTCTCACAGATACCTGGCCAGAAACTGAGATATCTGACAACTATATATGCATTTTTAAATACGTTAAGTCAGCTTTCTGAGGATATCTTTGTGTATTATAGCTATTTTATAAGTATTTTAAGTATTTTCAAGGTGGACATTTTCTAAATTAAAAAAGAAAAAAAAATTGGGCAGTGGTTATACCTCTTTATATACCTTATATACCTTATATACCTTTATATACCTTATATAAAATTCTGACTCGCTAAAATATGCTTCAGGGAGAAACTGCCAGCTTCCAATCCTAGGAGGAAGATCCTTTTCATAATCTTTAATTTATTTTAATTATCAAGGTAGGGCAAACTCAGATCCCACTGACTACCCTATTCCTCCAACACATGCATATGCATCTCTCTCTTATGTGAGTGCATGAAAAGAGCTGGTCTGTGTCAATAAAAGGCCTGTTTTAACTCCATAGTAGTGGGAAACCTTATGCCTACTTTTTCTGAAAGATAAAATGATTCTAGATGCAGATGGTGTCTTCTATAAAGATTGTTTGCTTAAAATCTTGCAATGAGTCTGATTCAAAGGATTTTAATTAACCACATACTTCATCAGTCTGATTAGCTCTGTAAGAGGGAGCATGCTAGAGACAAATGAGTTTTCTGTGCCTGTAGTACAAGATTATGGTACATGGCTGCAGATTTAGTGGAAACATTGTACTTGTTACCAGTCATTATCTATGTTACCTTCTGCCTTTTCTTGCTTTTAGCAGGGCTAAATTCAACCAAAACCCTTGACAAGTTGAGGTTAAAAAATATCTGGGATGTTAAAGTAAAATCACCTGTTAAACTGAACCAATTGTTCATGACTCTACCTTGGTTATGAGTTACAAGCCATTACTTTTGCACAGCTGTTTCTTTGAGAACCCTGTCTCCTGGTATGCTCCAGTTTAGGAAAATAAGAAACTGAAACCAGGAGTTGGGGAGTTAATTTGTTACGTGCTCTGCGGAGAATTCTGTTTCTCAAAATAGTGGTCTGGATATAATATTGTGATTCTGAAGTCTTATCTTATTTGGTTATTGGACAAAATAAACTGTCAGAACCACTGTTCTTTATAACTGGTTCAGGAAAATGTTTGGTGGATACACAAATACTTTTAAAATACACCAATGTACTATCGAGCTTGGAGAATTAGTTATGTCTTAGCCTGCTTCTTCTTCCCTTGGATTCCAACAGCAGTGTTGAGAGGTAATGCTCAAGTTGCAGGCCTATTGAAATTTGTTATCACCTAGACATGTTCCTTAATATTCTCCAGGTTACCATATGGATTTTTGAACACAGCCATCTGCAAAAAAGATTCATTTAGGGCTTCTGTTTCCAAAAGATTTGAAATCCTGGACTGGAGAAGCTGTAAGCAGCAAAGTTCCTCTTGACCTGGACAGATAAAATGTGGAGTACATCTCTGTAACCTAGATCTCACAATTTCCCCCCTTTCCTTTCCTACTTTTACCTAATGTACCAGGTTTCACTCATTGGGTCATGTGATGGATCAGTTTCTCCTCTGTCCCCTATGTCAGGGGACAAGAGCAATTGCACAAAAAGCATCCATGAGGGCAAGTATGCTTTTGAGCATGGGACCCTGCAAAGGACATGTTCCCTTGCAGTTGCACAGCCTTGTAGTTTCTCTCTAACTCTGTGATACTGTAAGAAACTAGTCAGACAGCATGTCAATTGTGTTTAGTACTTAAGGTTTTGAAACCATTGAGAAGCTAATAACTATGTCAGGTATCAGTAAGATTCAGGCACAGCAGCGTTGGAGCATGAGACAGGAGCTAGCTGAGTTTCACTCAAATGCAAAGCATGATTCTTGATAGGTCTGGTAACCACTCTAGTCAAGGCTGAATCTGCTGTGGCCTTTGGGATTGATCTGTTTGTACTCATGAATCTTTAAAATCAAGGAGGAGATTATGGTACTAAGCCCTTGTGATAGCAAAAATGCTATTTTCTTACCAGCCATCCCATTTACTCCAGAATTCATCATAGCAGAAGCTTGAGGTTGATTCACACCTTGCCTGTTTGACATTGAGAGATTCTCTTTCTTAGAGACTTTAGTATACTAATGTTTCAAGTTGTTTCCACAGTGTATTTTCCATCATGCTGCTTTATTCAGAAGTAAAGACTGCTACACATACATATTTATTTCTGGGATGCCAGTAACCTGCAGAACTTTTTGCTGCAGATGGGATAAACTTTCAAGTGTAACAGACATCACTGAGGACAAAGAGACTAGATAAAAATTAAGGACTTAATCAGGCCTAGTGGTATATAAACAACTGTAATAGAACAAGTTGTGCCACTTTCTGAAGGGCTTAAGTTGTACTAACAGGGAAATTGAAAGATGTAATCTGTTCATCAGTATAGAGGATGCCAATATGGTTTCACCTAGCCCATCAGCTGTGCAGAAGAAACAAGGGTTTGTTGGAGAGCTTGTGTTCTTCTACCAAAGTGATTTGCTAATTCCTTGGGCAGATGAGCCCGTGTATGTCTCTCTCTCTCTTTAATTGGTAATGTTTGACTTTATACTTTCCCTTTTATGACAGATCATGGTAATGTCAGATGGCACATCGTTCCCTTCAGGACAGAGCCTTCATCTCCCCAACCTCCCCCGTAACTCCCTACCTTTTTCAGAAGTGAAGAAGAAATCATCTCATGGACTAAAGGTGAGACTTATTTTGAAAGAAGACATTTGATCCAGTGAGGCAAACCCTGGGAAATAACATGCAAAATAATCAATCAGTATTTTGGGGATTGTTTTTACAGTCACATAGCATAGTCCAGTGGAATTAGGACTAACCATTTCTTTGATCTGAACTTACTGATAGTCACATAAAAATAATGCAGAATTAGGATGACCATGAGAATATGTACCAATTAAAGCATTTATATTGTTTGTTTACTTTTAGAACATGCACAATTGTTTTCCTTCTTTTCAAGAAGGAACTCTAGTTGTATGTTGTAGTATTAGTTTATTCAGGGGGAAGGAAGGAGTAAACTGAGTTATTTACATAGAAAAGGATTCAGTGAGATCTACAGAAATGCATAGAATATGACAAAATACTGAAATAATTGTTTGATTTATTAAGTATTTTTTAAAATGAATTATTTTTAAGATAATTGTGTAGAGTCAAACTTGTGAGGTGTTACCCTTTAGGGCTTTTTAGTTATATTTTTTAAGTTCAGGGATTTATTCTTAACTTGATGTTTCAAAGTTAGCAATGTGTCATCAGTCTCCAGGTTATCAAGTTGAATGCATGAAGCTAGTAAATGATAAAAAGGTATATTTTATCTCCTGTGCATGATAATTCTAATAAACCTTTTGAGAAATATAAATATACCTTTTCAAAGCAGCAGAGAATTTATTCAGTTCAATGAAATTTTTTAATCATATTGAGGAATAAAGCACATCCTGTTATTATTTGAATGAAAAAGAAATGCAATACAACCATCTGCTTCATAAAAGAATCAACATATAATTCTTTTCTCCATTGTTTGTTACATTATTTGAGTTGTAATTTTCCTTCTGTAGCATGTGCCATTTTAAAGTATGTTACCTAATCTTATTGACATCTGATTTTGTGTGCTGCAAGAGCAATTTTTTTCAATAACTTTCACGTTCTATAGCTGTACAAAAAATGCCAATTGTTATAGCTCATTACCTTACAAGTCTTATGTATGGTTATACCTAAGTGTGCCCATTGATAAGAATGTATCACAACAAAAAGGATGTATAGAGAAACAAATTCTCTTTTTTGTCTCACTGCCTGGTTTGCATTGTATCTGAGCGCCTCACAATCTCTGATGCAGCTCTTGCAACACCCAAGGGAGGTAAGGAATGTGATTATTTTCATTTTTCTGATGAGAAGCTGAGGTAGAGTGAATCTGAGGACTAGATTGAGAGCACTTTGATGCATCAAAATGCCTAAAAAGAAGGCACTTGGCTACACCAAAGTGATGCATGGTGCTGAAAATAACTGCCCAGCTGCTCAGACTGGGACACTTACGCATATACTTGGATACTGAACATGAGTTATTTTGACACCTTACAATCAAAGTTATGGGCTCTTGTGAGGTTAGGTAGCTCTATAGAGTCTGTTTTTGAATCGCTTTGGATTAAATTAGAATGTTGACACCCATGTCTTGCATTGCATTCTGAAGTAGGCACACTGAGGCTTGGCCTAAATGAGGCTGCCCAGATTTCTACAGGAAGACTTCAGGAAAGTGCAGAAATGATACCAAGTTCTACACTAGCGCTCCACAGTAAATTCTTTCATGGGGTAGGTTGTTTTATAATAGCTTCTTACTAGAGAGACTGGCACTGAGCAAGTGACAAATGAGATGTTTTAGAAACTCTATTCAGACAGTGAATGTTTGTCTGGTGTAGAAAACTTTTTAGTGAGCATGGAGCAGGGGTTGGGTTTTGACAACAAAATGGGATGGGGGGAGAGGAGTGCTGCATGTTTGCTGCACTTATTCCTCAAAAATTAACATTCAAAATGTTAAATGATAAACCTATCACTTCTGCCAAGACAATTGCCTGCAACAACTGACCCACAGAATACTGTTAGAGCAGGCAGTATGAGGTCAGATTTACACCACAACTCAGGATTGTAGTCTATATCTGTGAAATTCTTGTACAGGAATGACTGAATTATTTGGTTACAAAATAGAGACATTCAGCAGCAATGTTGTCTGATTTAAATCATGATTTTAATTTTAACCACAGGTCCCTAGCTATTTCTTTTTTGCCTTGACAGCAATATCCAAGATAAAATAGCTCTACTCCTGGAATAAAATTAACATTACACTCTCACTAAGGAGTCTGGCATGACTGAGCCATAAGGGAATAGTCCCCTGATTAATTGCTTTCTTCTTGGTTCAAGTTTAACTGCTGTTTATTGCAATATTTAATAGTGGGAAGAGTCATCATATAAATGCAATGTTTCTTGCTAGTAGGAAGAAATATTCAGTTTCCTTCCCCTTCCCCTCAGTAATCCTTGTCTCCTCCCATCCAACATAAAACACACAAATGAGGAACTGTCTCTATATCTCATTAAAAAAAAGGTGTAAATATCTGTCTGTCTTAGGTTCATCAGCTATTTTTGGAGGAATAAAAACACAAAATAACCTTAGTTTGAGTATAATAAAAATTCATCTGATCTTTTATTATATAATTCTGGGAAATTAAAACCCTTGGGATTTTGTTTTTAGGACTTTTTGTTGTTGTGTGGGTTTTTTCCCCCCAGCTAAATTTGTTAAGTAGATTGTTGGCTTTGAACTTTGAAGTAACTCCACTTATTTTCATTACTAGAACGTGCAACAATTATGTGATGCAACGTTTTCAGTGTTCTTTTCAAGTTTCAGTTAAATATGCCTTTAAAATAGTAGCTATAGGTTATTTACCAGTCTTGGTAGTTCTTGGATGTGAACTGTCTACATGTATACATTCAGTGTGGGTTTGTACTGCAAGTATCCATACCAGAGGATTGGTGGTGGTGGGGGGGGGTGCTGTAGCAATACCCACTGGATACGCTTGCATGCTGCCTTCCTTTATTCCTTTATGCAGTCTTAGAAGTGTGAGACCTTCAGTTCTTTTCAACCCAGGAAAGTGAAAAGACTCAAAAGAATAGGAAAGATGGGTGAATAGTGTCCTGTCCATAGACAGGACAGGGAATCTTACTGTTCTTCATTTGCTGTTGTAAAATTTGATGATGTCATTGTTGGTCGTGGTGCCCCTTAATGTGAGTGAGAAATGCATTAATGTACCTTTTTCCACTGAGTTCTAGCATATATGAAGTTCTTTCAACAAGAGGGCTTGTTGCATCAACTAATTGCCTTGAGCCATCTGATCACTGAGACAGAAGTGGGAGATAAAACAGCATCTTCATAAAAATGTTGAGGGGGAACCTAGTCAGCACCAAAAGAGTGGTACTGCAGCAGGAAAAGGAAGGAAAGGGGAAACCTTACTGAGAGGGTGTAGTCAGAGAGTAAATAATACAAAATCAAGTATTGGTAATATACAGTTTAACATGAGGTATAACATATATACAGCCTGCGCTGTGGCCTAGAATTTACAGATGTCCTTGCAGTGGTGGTAAGGGAAGAAAAGCACTTAAGGAGAGGTGATATTTGACAGGTAGGGCTCTTAAGTTTTGTATCTGTAAATACCAAACTAAACATTAAGGTCAATTCTTAACTCTGAATGCATAAAACCAAAACCCAAGAATGTTAGCTTTCCCATTTATCGGCTTCAAACTACAGCACAGCCCTTCTGGACAAGGGAGACTTGCAGTGATGACAGTAAAGCTGTGCAAAGAAGTGATATTGTTGGCTCAGTGTTCATTTGCCAAAACTGAGAATACACTAACAAGTAAGAGAGAACTGTCGCAGTTATCCTTCTGTTGCATACTGTTCTGAAGTAGGGATTCAAAAATGTGGGAGTCCATTTCCTAAATTCTGTAATTTAATGTGACAACCATGCTGTTGATTGTATTAGTGAGCCCCAGTATGGTGATTCAAAAACAAAGATTTCCTCTTAGAAACATAGAGGACAAGCAGAAATACATTTCTTGACTTCAACCTTCCTTAGTGTGTGCATTCTTTCATTTTCCGGATGCTTGCAGAGTATAGTGTCTTGTGCTCCCCCTCCTGGCTTTCTCAAACCTGTGAGTATACACTTACTCCTGTTTCTGCTGCTGTCATTGGTCATAATGGTCACGGGGGCTGGACAAGCAAGAAGTCTGCTCAAGTGTGGAAAGCTTTGGGAATGTGGGATCTAATAACGCTTGTGTGTGCAGCTAAGAACAGGAGTGAATTATGAAGGGAACCATCACCACCACCACCAAAAAAAAAAATTGCTTTATGTGTGAACTAGCTTCATAAGTATCAGCAATTGGAGTTGTTTGAAATGATTTTCAGAGAACATTACTTGCTCTAAAGCAATGTTTAACCAATTTGGGAATTACATTTTGTAGCATGAAGTCATGATGTTCCCTTGCAAGATAGATGGATAATTCAATATTGTTCTTTGCCTTGAAATTCCCGCAGTTGTTAAATTTGCAGATACTTTACCTGTTGAGTAAAACAATTTTTCTGTTTTGAGAAAATCTTTGATTTTTATTGTGCTAAAATATTTAATTTTAAAATCCTGTTAGTACTGCTATAGCAAAGGGATTATGTCTTGAAGAAAAATGTGTACTTTCTCTTACTTGGATTTAATAAAAGAAGACATGTACAGGTATTTTAACAAGCATATAATCCTCTATGTTATCCTTCTGATGTTTGTTATGCAAGATCTCAAAGAAAGTATAACATTCACTTCAGTTGCTTAGACTAATGTTTGATGAATACACAAATGTAATCCATAGTATTTAAATATATTACCTGTCAAAAATTTACAAGCTCTATGTTGCAATCCCAACTTGAAAAAAAGATTTAGTTTGACGTACCACTCTCAACAGCAGAATGTGTCATTCACTCTTATTGCTTGCAGTACTTCTTAAGGTGGGGAGGAAAACAAACACTTAACAAGATTATTGATTTTATGATAAACAAGGAAATTGATTAAAAATACCTTCTGGCTTACACTAAAGTCTGTGAAGTGAATGTGAAAATTTACCCACACTCCACCCCTGCTAGCCTTCCATGTTTATGTTGGTAGAATTTTGTTAGTGAACATGTTTTTCAATTTCTTCTGTTTTCCAGATGTTATGTGCCTCATGCTATTTTCTCTCAATCACTGTTGACTTGTGCAGGGTCATTCCAGAACAGTAGGAAGTGAGAAAAGATACCTTACTTACTTAAGAGTGAATGAAGTGAGAAAAGATACCTTACTTACTTAAGAGTGAATTCATGTTTAATAGCAAGGGTTTGGCTGCCTTAATGAATGCAGGAGTAATTCTCTGAATGCATGGTCATTGAATAAATATATCATGGTAAATATATACTTGTACTATGATTTCTACAAAAACATCAGATTCCATGTTCTAGAAAATGGAAAGAAATTCAGTTTTAAAATTTTAAACCCGAGAAGGATCTCCAGTTCCCATTGTTTTTAATGCTGCTGCTCCCTAGGACCTATTTCACAGAACTTTCTGGTTAAAAGCAGCTAAAATGATTCTCCCCTGTTAGAGAGACTTAAAATACATGATATGGAAACTGATAAGAAATGTAAGAAAGAACTCAATTTAGTTTAAGTGCAGCAGACATCCTGCCCCTTCCCAGGGCAACACTTCTGGCTCTGGCATGATAGAACGGGATCCTACAGCTAAAAGTATTACTAATGAGCCCATAAGACATGACTTTGGGATTCATCTTGCATAAAACAAAATATGTTGCCACTTGACTTTACTTTCCTGTTGTTTAAAAAAATGTCTTGATTGAAGTGATCCAGTGCAAGGAATAATTAATGTATTTTTGTTTTTAATTAGTGACATGGTAAGTAAGGAAATGCCTTACATTCAGGCATTCAAATGTCATCAGAATATTGTTCACTGTTAAAGAGAATAATAGCTTTTATTTACAGCTTTGCATTTAAAATTCATTTATCTTTCATTAGTGTGACATGTTATTAGAGTGTATATTAAACTGATAGCTGACTCAGGAAATTTCTAAAGTAATCTGTGTTTAAAATAGTAGTGTGCCAGAGAGCTACAATGAAAAGTGCATATAGTATATTCTAGCCAAAGAGGCTGTTTTCTGTCTTGCTGATCACAGCCACACTTTGCTTATGTGTGGTAAAGTTGGGCAAGAATGAGATTTTTCTGCTTAATGGGAATACTGTGATTTTTAGCTGTTTTTCTTCTGCTCCAAAGTAGAAAAGGAAAAAGAAAACTTAAAGTTTTATGTTGTGAAAAATTTCTATCAAATTAATTTGTGGGATAATTTAGTTTGTGCCTTTTTGTGTTTTAGCATTTACAATGATTTTAAATGAAAATTTTAAATGCTTATTATTGTTTTTCAAATTGATGTTTCCCCAAAATGTTTTTCTTTTGATGAATGAGCATTTTTAGATAGCTTTCTGATGGAACATTTTTGCAAGCTCTGCATGGTCTCTGCTGCAACTTGGGCAAGTGATAAGGCTGCTTTTTAAATTAATCCATAGTAGAGATCTGACTTTCGGACCAGTTCTTCCTTCTGTGTTGCAAACCTGTGCCAGTGTTAGGCAGTCAGATAAACCACATTATGTATGTGCTAGAGGGTCAAAAAAGAAAAGCAAATTCTTATCACTGCAGAACGGTGAATAAACATCAGTACAGAATGATGAAAAGCAAAATAGATCTAGGTGTTTGTCCATTGGTTTTACACACATCATATAAAGATTAGAGAATTGTGGGCACTACATTCCTTTGCAATGTGTAAAGGACTTGGCTGAATCACTAAATTAAGTGTTGAAAGTCAAACCCAGAGACAACTGTTTATTGTTTTTTACCAACTAACATCCTTTTCAGTAGTTTCCTATTCTCAGTAATGCTTTCTTTGCATAAGAATCATAATGGCAAAATGCATAATTATAAGTACTCATTTAACAAGCTCTCTTTTGAGTTCAAATTTCAGTAAAGCTGTAATTTTAACACGCTGATATTCCATGTTTTGGGCCATCACTAAATTGGTTCCAGTTTCTGATGAAAATTTTAAGTTGTTTTTGTCCTGAGGAAGAGAAATAAAAATTATTCAGCTATAATATGTATAGTTGCCAACAAGTAAGGCATGAACCTGGGAATCTTTGGCATGCTGAAAGGACTGTAGCCCGTGTCATTTCTTTAAAGCTCTTCATGTTCTGCCTGTTGTCATGAGTTACAGCATTTAAGAGTTGGAAGTTTTGATGCTATTCTGGAATGTAGCAGTCAAGGAAAATTCTGGTTTCAAAGAGTGATAATCTCCTGGGTTCCTGGGCCAACATCCTTAGGGGCTTTTATCAGGAGTAAAATGTTAAATTTGCTTATTCGGTAGAAGGTCGTTATAGGATCTTGTTCCTATTGTTTTAGCTTGGCTTTATTAATGAAATACTGCTTCAGTATAAATCTATACATATAGGTAGGATTTTTATAAATTTTCATACAAATTCATTGGGGGGATGTGTTTTGCTCTAATTCTCAAATAGTTCTCTCTTGGCAACATGCAGGTTCCTACACTGATCTATTGTAATGGCTTTGTTCTGATATTTGATGGTCATGTGTCAGCATTTCCTAAACTGTCCATTTTTATGTTCATCTTATTCATATTATTTCTTAAAAGCCAAATTTTACTTTCAAGATAAAATTAACTTTCCTCTTGACAAGCATTGACAAACAATTGTAACTCCTTTTCCCCGCTACTTTGTAATGGAAAAGTCAACTGTTCGTAAATACTGAAGTACTATATTCATCTGTGATAGCTGACTGTTAAAAAAATGAATAATACAGGCTAAAGGATAGTACTTTTAAGTGAAACTGGAAATAGTGTCTTGTGTATCTGTTCTTACATAGTCATTTATAGTTTCTAGTACAGATTTTTAACATGAATCCTGCGTCCATATTATGTCTGCCTTTTGTTTCAAAATTAAGTTTGTGCTTCTCCTTGTTGCAGGACAGAACTAAGAATATGAATGCAAATAGCAGCAGCAGCAGTAGTAACAGTTTTTCAAAGCCCCACAAATTAACAAAAGAGCACAAGGAAAAATTTTTGAAAGACTCAAAAGAACATAAAAGTGCCTTCAAAGAACCTTCCAGGGAACACAGCAAATCTTCCAAAGAATCCTCTAAGAAACCCAAAGGAAACAAACTGCTGAAAGATGAAAAAATAGTTCCTAAGATGGCCCTCAAGGAACTCAAATCCATGTCCAAGGAGCCAAAATCTGAAAACATAACCATCCTCACCATAACAGGTCGACAGCAGCAAGAAAAGAAGGTCCCTACAAAAAGGTCCTCTGTTATAGATTCTGATGAACTTTCTGCTAAAAAAAGGAAAAAAAGTAGCTCGGAGTCTTTATTTAAAAGGTTTTCTAGTGCTTCCCCACTGATTCTTACTTGTTCAGCTGACAAAAAGCAAACACAAGATAAATCTCAACTCAATATGGGGAAAGTCAAAATGGACAGTGATACAGTGGAGAAGAAAAAGCCTTCTTTGCCACCATTTGGTGATACTGTGGGTCCCAATGATTCTGATAAAGAGGAGGAAAACTTGTCTTCCAAATCTGAAGTAAGTGATGTTTGATTTTTATTTAAATGTGTTGAGTATTCACCGTCCATGCGATTGTGCACCATATTTGTATCCCCCCCCGTCCCCCGACCAATTTATCAGTAGACAAAAGTCAAGGATGTTAACTAATGGCTGTGAAAACTTACACATATTCTGTTTTAATGGTACTGACTGAGTATATCACTCAACTGATTTATCTGTCAAAGTATGATTAATGAGTATATGGGAAATGACTGTAAATAACATTGCCCTATTGATTTTGATCTTTTGGAATGTGAGAGAATGAAATGTATTAAAAGGCTTGTATTGTATGTTCTAAAGCTTTGTATTCAAGCAGTAGAGAATTCAGTTAATTCAGGAAAGGAATGAGGGAATTGTTTAAAAGTTGAAATTGTTGAAAAGTGTTTAGTAAATGTGGATGTATAAAAGGATGTCAGAACCCAATCAAGTTTTTGTTTTTACTTTCTGCTTTTTAAAAAGGTTCTATAACTGATGCCAGGTTTTGTTTTGTTTTTCCCTATCTAGAATGCCCACTCAGGTGAGGAAAATTTATGCAAAATAATGAACTGACATAAGAAATAGGGTATTTTTATATAAAAGTTTGTTTTCCTGGAAGAAATTATTTTCCTATTCATCTGTTTCAAACATAACTTGGCTTTGATGACTAGGATTTTTATCACTCTCCTAGCAGAATTGAGTTTTCAGTAGCACCTTTTATAGATAGATGAGAAGGAAAGGGGTGGGAAGAAAGTCTAATTTAATGCCTTTTGTTTATGCTTAGGGATGGAGGTGGTGGGCAGGTTAGAGAAAACATCTTCCCAACCACCCAGGTTGAATCTTCTTATTTTCCTGCTGTCTGTTCTGTGCCTCCGTTACCTCTACTATATTCATAGCACTATTTAAACTGTCTGGAACAGGCAATAAAAACTTTACTGTAGGAAGGCATTACCATTAGGTTTTCACAGGGGGAGAAGGAGGTCTTTATTTCTAAAGAGGCTTTTTAATGACTGTTCCCTTAGTGCACTCAAAGGCTATAAAATGTGGAAGGTATGTAATAGAACAACCCCCTCTTTATAGCATGGCACTAGTGATGTCATAGTTGTGGTTGCAACAGTATTTTTGTTTTAAAACTGTGGTTGCCACTAGCTTTATAACTTCTAATTAAAATTGCCTTTAAAACTCAAAATGTTCATTCTTGTCAGCTTTGGAAAGAATTAATTTTTATCATCTTAAAATAGAAGATTCAGCTTCTTTTAAGTTATATCAGCTAAGACTCGCTACCTACCCACAGCATAGCAGACTAATTAACATAAAGCTTAGTTTCAAAGTTTGCCTTTCATTGAAATTGGTCTCAAGTAAAGACACTCACTCTTATTGGCACCATCAGTTTTCAACTTTTTTCAAGGAAAAAAATAATTAAAATAGGAAAGCAGCTGCAACGTAACTGGAATTAAAAAGATGCAGATACTATAGATGTGTGTGCTACCCTAGCAACTTGCAGATAATTGATATGTTAAGGGAATGGAGGGCTTCTGATGCTATGATGGGTGCTTAGAATTAGTGGTATTTAATGACTGACATAATGTGTGTGTTGTCCTCTGTTGTGATTCTACAGCTTCTTGCCCAGTATCAATGATATAAAGCGTATATCCTTGTGGTTTTCATAGGATGACACAAATTCACTTGTGCTGCTGTTCACAATTTGTCTGCGATTGCCCTGCAGCATCTAGGGGGTGCATTAATTCTGCACTAAAACAGAACTGAAATTCAAAGTTTTATAGTTCTGCTATCTGCTGTTACTGAAAGGATAAGCTACCCGTGACCATCGAGAGAGAAACAGAACCTGCTGGTCTGAGCTCTAGTTTATTTTAACATTGTCATACTGGATCCTGGAACAGATAGATCTTCAGTGTGAGAGTAAGAATCATGTCCTCCTCATGGTCCATGTCATTGTATAGGTGAAAAGGATGTCTGCCATTTTTCTAGCCTTTGAGACTGTGCTGACTTAGTCAGTGGGCACATTCAGGCATAACTGTATGATACAAAATTTAATCAAATGTTATTCCATTCTGTAATAAGGTTACAGTGTTAGATATAGTTAGAATTGCTGCACACAGAATGTACTGTTTTACAAAGTGAGATTTCCTCATACACATTATTTAGGAATATACTTCAGTAGTGAAGTGTTCAGGATTTGTTCTTGAAGTGATTTTTAAAAAACCACAAAACCAAAAACAGCAAACTTGTAACCTGATTTGTGATATCTAATCCAAATCAGTACCTAAAATGTAATTGTTAATTTTGAGCAAAAGTTTTTTTTCATTTGCATTTATGAAATAGTACAAATTTAATGTGTTATGAATTGTTGTGAAGAAAATGATGAATAATTCAGCTCAAAAGGAGGATAATATTTACTCCAGTCAATGGAATGAGAAATGTTTTCATTCTCAAACACATGTGCTCTCTTTTCACCCCCTTGGTATTACTTCATATACATGTATATGTAGATCATGTATGATCTAAGATGATCTAATAGTAATGTAATATGACAGCGCTGTTGAACTTTTTTGTAGCTAAAGATGTATTATTTCCACCTAAAGTGATTTTAGTCATGCTTTTATATTTCATTAAATTCAATGTCTGAACTTCCTACAGACACATAGAGAACTACATTTTCTATCTAGTCTTGAGGGGGAGGGGTTGGAGGGTTCTTAGCAAATTTTCGTCACTCCTGAATCTTGCTCATTAACTCATATTTAAACTAATTCAGAAGCAAGCTAAGAAGTGGTACATCAGCAATCAGTCTTGACAATATTTTAAAAAACTGTCCAACAAAAAACACAGTAGGAGGAGTTCTGCAGAAATTGCACAGTTCTTATTGAATACGTTCACAAGAAGCTAGGCCTTACTTTAACAACATGTTTCTAGCTCTTAATGGTCACTTCCTAAAAGCTGTTTGCAGAACTAGGTGTAGACAGTGTTCCCTTCTCAATCAAGAATGATGGATGCATATTTTCAAATCACAGAATCACAGAATGGTTGAGGTTGGAAGGCACCTCTAGAGATCATCTAGTCCAAACCCCCTGCTCAAGCAGGGTCACGTAGAGCACCTTTCCCAGGACCATGTCCAGATGGCGGGTTTTGAATATCTCCAAAGATGGAGGCTCCACAACCTCTCTGGGCAACCTGTTCCAGTGCTCTGTCACCCTCACAGTAAAGAAGATTTTTCCTCATGTTCAGATGGAACTGCCTGTGTTTCAGTTTGTGCCCGTTGCCTCTTGTCCTGTTCCTGGGCACCACGGAGAAGAGTCTGGCCCCATCCTCTTGACACAGAATCACAGAATCACAGAATGGTTGAGGTTGGAAGGGACCTCTGGAGATCATCTAGTCCAACCTCCCTGCTCAAGCAGGGTCACCTAGAGCATATTTCCCAGGATCACATCCAGACGGGTTTTGAATATCTCCAGCGAAGGAGACTCCACTACCTCTCTGGGCAACCTGTTCCAATGCTCTGTCACCCTCACAGTGAAGAAGCAGACAAAGGAACTCCATTAAGCAGTGACAGTTATGAAATCTGTTGTTCAGCCTACAGTATGGATCAGCGGTAAGATGCATCACTCCACTTTTCATCTCTTAGTGACTGCAGAACTCTTAAGTTTCATATATTGAGCTACTGTGAAAAAATAGCAGTGAAACAGAGATGAAATAACATCTAATAAAATGAGACCATACTGAGAGATTCCAGTAAGTACAATATTTAGCATCAGCTTTGGCTCTAGAACACTCCTACCACCAGACATGTAATAAAATATGGGAATGAGAGGGTTCGAATAAAGGGATCCCTCAGGGCCGCAGGTAAGTGAACTTTACCAAAGATCCCTAATAGCTCTGAACACAAAGGTTTCTTTTAAAAGCAAGTCAGTATTAAATGAATTTTAAAAAAATTAACCCAAGCAAGCAAAAAGCAAAGCTGAAAATACACATCATTAAATCAACAGATGTATGACCAATAGCTAAACAGAATACAGTCATACAACAAACAACAGCATCTGGCTCTGGAAAGGACCCTTCTAGCCACATCTACTCCTATACAGTATCAGTGCCTAATGCTGAGTTTTAAAAGGTTCAGAAAAAACAAGTCATTGTTTATGAAAATGCAACTTTTCGCAAAAGTATCTCATATACTTTTCAGAATATCTTATACAATGTCTGATGAAACATCATTTCATCCTTATGCACACAAAACAACTGGAAAATTGGCAATAACAGTTTAACAAGGTAAAAGTTTATGAAGTCTTCACTAAGTAAAGCTTACAAGTTATAATCCATGTAAAACCATAAAGCTTTTTACTATAATTTCAATACAGTCTTTATTTTAAATGAAGGATAAATGCATGCCAGCTCTGTTTTCATGTGTATTTTCTTTGTTTCATAAAAAGGTAAGTTAAAACAGATCTGAAAGTGCTGATGAGATGCCAGCGTCAAAACTGATGTGGCATTTTCTTTCTAAGCCTGTTTTCGGAAACAGCAGCTTTGAACTTCACCTTCTACGGGAAATTGCTCATGCTTATTCTCAACATAGAGATAAATGATTCTTGAGGGAAAACTGCAAGAAAAGCCATGACCGTATATTTTAGTTAGCAAGTGTAGAAAGTATCTCAGGCACTTAACAGTGTATTTCTATGCATTCATTAGACCAGTGGCAGAAATTCCTGCAGCAGCCCTTCCTATCTCATATATTCCTATACCCAGGGCAGGAAGGCAGCCACATATGCAGTCACAAACCCCTCTCAAAACGAGATGCTAGATTTTAAGGCAATGGTATAACCTTGCAATTATGTCCACACAATGTGTATTACCAATAAATTTGAAGCAGAGCTTAGATTCGGGTCTGCACTTGATACACAGCATACATGTACTTTGTCTAAGCTGGACAGAGAAAAATCTTACATTAAAGTTCTGAAAAGAGATACGTATAGCACACTTCATTCTTAGTAGTA